GGGGTATTGGAGTTTTCCGGTTGAGTCGAATGCGTCTGGGTAGGTTAGAGGGGCTGTGGGGATGGCGGAGGGGTGGTATGGGATGGGGAAAGGGGGGAGGGAGTAGGCAGAGGTAATGCGGAAGGGCTGGGAGAATCAGAACTCACCCTCTTCGAAGAAGAAACGGATCTTATCCCCGCTCTCTAGGAAATAGTCGGCGCCCACGTGCTCCAGCTCTTCTCCCTCTCCAGTCGAGAAACGGGTCATGGGGTGGTCCTCGATGGAGAAGTTCTCGAGGAGACTGTGCGTCTCGGTGAGGAGAGAGGCTACGGTTTGGGAGTCGAGGGCGTTGGGGATGATGAGGTAGCCATCGCGGTTGAAGGCTTCGATTTGGGCGGGCGTGAGGCTTGGAGCGGAGGAGGACATGATAATGGTGGGGTAGGGGTTGGCAGGTGGAGTTTATGCTGTAGATTTGTGAGTATAGAAACTTGAATATGGGCTCGGGGAAGTGTATACGATTCCTACCAGTTGTGAGTATAATGAAGGTGTATATTCTGTATATTGATACTGCCAAGATGTTCATGAAGGTGGGGTAAGTTAGTGAACGACTGAGAGATAATGATGCTCTATCAACAATAACAGCGGGGTCAAAATGCCGTCGTATAAGAAGATACGTACCGGGAACCCGATCGCTCCTTCCTTCGTTGGGTGTTAGATCTGCTTAGCGAGCTCTTCCTTATCACACAGCTCATATGGCCGAGTGGTCTAAGGCGATGGTTTTAAGAAATTCTTCTGAAACACCATTATCGAAAGATGCGTGAGTTCGAACCTCACTGTGAGCAACTAAATCTTTTTTCATGTTTGGGTTGTCTGTATAGTGTTTTGCTATTTTGATATATTTTGGTTTTTATCTTTTTGCTATTCGCTCCGGTGTGCTCTGGAAGGGTTTAAAGTCGAGAGCTCTTTCCAAGGGAGGGGATCTTTGTTGTTCTATGTACTGTGGTGCTGTATGTAGGGTCGCTTTTGCGGGAAAGAGGGGAAGAGGGGTACGAATTGACCTGCCCCACCACTGACCACTCCCACTGGGGACCTCGTCATCATCAACAAGTAAGCTCGCGACATCAACAGTATCAGTTTCAAAGCTCCCTTTTCTGGCGCCTAAACCCCCATTTTCATTTTTACTTTTGCGCTCATTCTTGGATTCCATTATCTCCAGCGTTGCGACTACTACCAGCCATGTCTATTACCCTCGAGTCTGTCCTAGCAGCGTCGCCAGCTACAACTCGCGGCCAACCCACACAGCTGTCTGCCTGCCCAAAAGGCGAGCGAATAGCTTATGCCGTTAGTTCCACCACCCCCATAGAATGCCTACAATCGCCCGTATCTGACGTCTACTAGTCTGGGAAATCAATCTTCCTCAGGAGCATCGACAACCCCGAAGTCAGCAAGCAGTACACCGGCCATACCGCCCAGACGACCGTTGCGCGCTTCTCGCCCAGCGGATACTACGTTGCCAGCGGTGATGCCTCGGGTCTAGTGCGTGTATGGGATGCGGTGGAGGCGGTCAACACGAAGGGCGAATACCCGATCATATCTGGGCGCATCAACGATATTGCGTGGGACGGCGACTCGCAGCGCATAATAGCAGTTGGAGATGGACGCGAGCGCTTCGGTCACTGTGTTACGGCTGATAGCGGAAACTCTGTGGGGGAAATCAGCGGGCATTCGTCGATCATTAACAGCGTTTCGATTAGGCAGCAACGACCTCTCCGAGCGGCTACTGCGAGTGACGATATGAGCATGGTCTTCTTGCATGGAGCACCGTTCAAATTCAATTCGAAGGTCGGAGCGCTGCATAAGGGATACGTCTATGGTGTTGCATTCTCACCGGATGGAAGCACTCTGGTCTCTGTCGGCGCCGATAGGAGAATACAACTTTATGATGGCAAGACAGGAGAGGCGACCAAGCAGATAGGCGAGGGCGAGCACAAGGGTTCTATCTTCGGCGTCTCGTGGTCCAAGGACTCAAAAAAGTTTGTTACGTGCAGCGCAGATCAAACCGTCAAGGTCTGGGATGTCGAGTCTGGCAAGAACGTGCAAACATGGCGCTTTGGTGGGGAGGGCAACGTTAGCATCCCAGACCACCAAGTTGGTGTTGTGTGGCCCGCTGGACGAAGCGATGGGTTAATCATCAGCATTAACCTCAACGGTGACCTCAGCTACCTCACCGAAGGCTCCGAAAAGCCGCTCAAGGTTGTGCAAGGTCACAACCGCAGTATCACAGCCATCGGTGTTAGCGACAAGACCCTTTGGACGGGCAGCTTCGAAGGCCGTGTATGCACGTGGGATATCGCCTCTGGCAAAGGTCTCGCAGTCCGCGGCCAAACGCACACTAACCAAGTAACCGGTTTCACGAACACACCCGACCGAACCTACACCATCGGCTGGTACGTCAACCTCGGCATCGTGGACGAGCCAACACAGACTTTCGTAGGTGAGAGCACAAAGCTCGACGCCCAACCAAACGGCATCGCCTCCGCCTCTGGCCGCGTCTACATAGCCGCCACGACCGGCCTCGCCGTTTTCTCCAAGGACAAGCTCGTCCACCAGCACGCAACCAAGGATTTCACACCCACCGCCATCGCAGCCTCCAAGGATCTCCTCGCCCTAAGCGACGACGCGAATAGCGTCCACATCTTCACCGTCTCCAACTCCGGCACCCTGACCCCCTCAACCGTTCTCTCAAAATCCACCGCAAAAGTAACCGCGCTCTCCTTCTCGCCCTCCGGCGCGCTGCTCGCAGCGGGTGACGGCGTCGGGTAAGATCGTCGTCTACGATACGGGGTCGTGGGAGGTGGCTACGGATCGCTGGTCGGCGCACACGGCGCGCATCCAGAGTATTGCGTGGAATGCGGCGGGGACGCATGCTGTTAGTGGGGGGTTGGATACTAATGTACATGTTTGGAGTTTGGCGCAGCCGGGGAAGAGGGTTAAGGCCGCGAATGCGCATAAGGATGGTGTGAATGGGGTGGTGTGGGCGGGGGAGGGGAAGGTTGCTAGTGTGGGTGGGGATGCGGCGGTGAAGTTGTGGAAGGTTGAGGGATTGGCGTAGATAGGGGGGTGAAAAGGGGACTTTGGTGTAAATGAGTAGGCTGAATAGGGGTATATGAAGCGCAGCATTGGGAAGCTAGTTCGTGTTTTTGCATTGATCGTTTCTGATATTCTTTGCATCTAGTAGAATATCTAACGCCCGATTTGTGTCGTGGGTATCGTATTTTCTTACAGTAACCTCCAACGCCCACCTCTTTATCAACAACTCCTCCCATCCCGAATCCCAAACCCTCGTCCAAGCCGCCTGCTCCCAGTAAAACCATCCTGATCTACAAAGAACCCTTTTCGACCCCCACCCCTACTCCATTCACCTCGCCTTTTCCTTCGGCGGCACCTTCGTCCCCGTCCTCCTCCTTACAGGCTGGTAGAAATCATTGAAATTCATCACAACCCCCAAGAACCGCATATCCACATCAGGCTGATACGCCAGATCCCCCAACAACGCACTTAGCTTCGCCCTAAACTGCCCTCCCAGCGCCTTCAACCGCTCCTGCAGCGTAGGCAACAACTCGTCCTCACCACCTGCACTGCGGCGTCGGGGGTCGTGCCGGGGACGGTGTGCTGCTCAGACTGTCGTGGGCGAGGTGTTTTGGTCCCCGCCGTGTTGTGGCGGGGGTGGGAAGGACCTCGTCGTCGGACATGTCCATGCGTGAGTTCACGCGTATGGACGCTTCCTGGCGGCGAGTGAATTCTGCGACGTTCCAGCTATACAGCCCGTCTACGGCGTCGCGGTAGGCAAGCATGATGCGCAGCAGGTCGCCGAGTTGCATCATGAACGTACTCGGTGCGTCGTCGGAGTGTCCGCGCTTCTTGGCGCCGAGGAGGCCCTTGTGCGTGATCGCGTTGAGGTAATCGGTGTGCGAGCGGATTATGTCGTCGAGTGTGCAGCCTTCTTTGTGGATAGCGGTTTGGAGCTCGTCCCAGGAGGACTCAATCACTTCGAAGAGGATGTAGTACTGGAGTTGGCCGATGAAGTGGATCATTTCTGCGACGACGCCGCGGGTGGATTTCCAGGTTTCGCCGACGCTGGCGTCGACGCCTTGGAGGACGCCGCGGGCGCCGGTCATGCATTTGCGCCAGGTGGTGGAGAGGACGAATTCAACGCGCTTGATGCGCCAGAGGAAGTTGAAGACTTTGAGGTATTGGCGGTTGCCCCATTCGGTGACGACTACGTCGACTGGGGCATCGATCTTGTACTCGAGTGTGAAACAGTCCCAGCCAATGTCTCCATGTGATAGCTGAAGCATTCTTGCGTCAAGCCTCCTCAGTACCTCTGGCGAATCATACTGTGCATTGGAACCCCTGATTGCGTGCTCGAGCTGTGCTGTCAAAGTATGACGGTATTGGGCGCCGGCAGGTCTATCCAGATTGGCCGATAATGACTCCATCAGCAGGGCTATGAAGTCGCCTTGGCCGAGAAGGATGTAGTTCTTCAGTGCCTTGAGATGCTCGAACAATTGGAACTTGTCTGCCATAAGGTGAATCAGCCTAGCCATTGTGGTCTTATAAGCTTCGTCAATCCAGGTCTCCAGCGTCTCCGTGTCGCCGTATCGAAGCTCTTTCGAAGCGGCTTTTGAGTATTCCTCGACCCATAAAGAGTCGCCACAGCCATGTCGGATGAAGTTGAGCGATTTCCCAATCAGGAACACTTTTTGCGCGAAGTCTTCCGTTATGATGCTCGGTATCATGTCATCGTCGAGCTTATATTTATCTTCCCAGACACTGCTTGCCCCGCCTCGGCTTCGCCCATCCTCTGCAGTGTTAACAGCATTTGGATCCTGCTCGGAGACAAAGAATTCATGGTACGGGTCCGATAATTCACCGTCGTAAATCCATTGCCGCAACATATCGTAGAAAGGACGCGTCACATGCGTCAGGAGTCTCTCAGCAAACGCCCCAACCAAAGGGTCTCCGTGAGAAGAAGAAAATCCGTGAATGAGCGATATCAGTTGCCCACCTCGTCGGTTCTTTGACTCCTCTGCGATGAGACTGAGAAGGCGTAGTCCCATGGTGGCTTCACGCGTCCAGACCACGCATCTCTTTAACGTGACTCCGGCTTTACCGATTCCACCTCTAGGCTCATTTTCGTCTAGAGACGACAAAGCTCGTCTTATTTGCCCCTCTAACGTCGCCACTAGCCCCAGATAAGACCTTAATTCTCCCGCGACTGCTGCGCGGAGACTTTGGCCGAGGAGCCCACCCTCAGTGGACGCGACGAATTCTGTCAGGCCCCTGTATAGCAGCGACGGTTCTGCAAGGGTGTGTAGTATAGATATTATAGGCGGTGGGAGGGAATTAGGTAATTTGAGAACTGACGTCGACGGGAAAGCCAGAGTCGTCGACGTGAGCCCTTGTAGTGTGAACGGGAGGTCTCGTAACAGAGTTGTCTCCGACGGACTAATCTCGACATAGTTCTCCGCCAGCATCAAGGTCTTTGGGGGTTGTGATTTGCCCTGATCTGGTATATTTTTTGTGGCGGCCGCTTCTGCTTCCCTTGGGCCTCGCTGGTTCCCATCCCGTACGGGGAGATTGCGTAGTCCTTGAGGCGCAAAGGCCTCATCGTACACCTTCTCTTCTCTCCGCGGCCCATTGCGTAACGATGATCCAGCGCGCACGCCCTCAAGCAGCCTTCGATCTTCTCTTAACGCGCTGCTTAACTGTCTGGATTGGTCTGATAGTGGCGGCTCTGGCTCGTCGGAGTCCGCCAGCTGGTAAAGCAGGTATAGGATCG